GCATCTAAAAGAAGGCTCTGATTTTAATACAGAGACCACTTGGGCCATGAACTTCACTGTCAGTACAGTGAGCTTTAAAATGCATGAAGAGCAACAAACACACATTGCTTTCTTCTACTGAAATTACCAAACCTTATCAAAGTGTTCCTGATGGACAGAGATCTCTTATAGGTCTTTAAAATTTGAGGATATAACCAAACCACTGAGAATCATCCTTAAATACACTGATGAAAGAAAAGCTCATAGTCCGAATGCCCCCAAAGGCTAGATACACTGTTAAGGATGATAATGTGAGCTTCCTCACAGCAACCTGGCAATGACCTCTGCTTTGACCTGTAGAGAGCAATGTCTCAAGAGGTAAAATACAATTTAGTCCTTTATTCTTCATAACTGAAATTATTCCAGTGCCATAAATTCTAATCAAGGCACTCCAATTTAAAAACAAACAAACAACAACAAAAAAAGAAAAATATAACATATGTTTCTTTACAGAATAATACAAGGGATCTACTAACAAAACATAATCAGCTAGAAACAACTTCTACCCTGTTTCTCTGCAGCATGTATGGCTATACATAAAGATGCACACAGTTCTGAAACATGGGTAACAAAATGGGAAAGGAAAATAAAATCCTAAAGCCAACACAGGTGTTTGAAAACAAAACCTTGTTTATGTAAATGTGTGCAGGTTCATTTAACTCCCATAACCCCGCTCCATATTTCAAGCATACACAGAATTATGAAAAGATCAAAAGCCTGCTAATGAACGAAAGAAAACCAGAGTCTTCAGATCCAGCCAAGGAATTCTAAGATCTAATTTCACTGGAACGAAACTTTGCCAGCAAAGTGAAAAAAAAAAAAAGGTTAGCAGTCAATTTTTTTTGCTTCCCAGCAATAATTAAATAGGAAACACTTGTGCTCCACAATTATAGGCTTGGTATTGCCCTCACTATATACTTACAGCTTTATTTATTTTGATAAGTTCGATGCATAGAACTAGAGACTCAATCTCAAAGAGCAACTTTTTATAATACAGTAAAATTACCTTAACATCAGTGCAAGTGCACTCCCAGCATTTTTTAACCATCTCTGGTTATATAACTAATTATGCCACAAATTACCATCAATAAAGGATTAATTAAGGACTGGATGTAACTCCAGGAAAGTCAGACTGAGTCCACAGGGGCTTTTGATGCTTGGACTAGCCACTTTGTTCTTGGGATTTTTACTGTACAGAGAATTTTATATACGACATGCCCCTGGTGTCTATACTAACTTTTCAATCTCAAAAGTTTATTACACAGATAAACATGAAAGGAGTTCTTCTTATTCTAAGGGTTTTTCAAAGAATACTTCATAACTTACACTAAACCTGTTTGAAAATATAGTATAAAACGGCAACTAGGATTCATTAATTTAGGATCAAATCCCAGGGTTCTTAATCAAGAGAAAATACTACTTAACATTAACAAAAGCTTTCTGTAGTTAGCACCGTGGCATTTGACCTGGGTTACTACTTTGAAGCATATTGCAGAGTAAGACAAGTTGATTGGAAAATGACACCATCTGGAATGTCAAGAGCCAGACTCAGTTTTTCTGTTTCTTAATTACATCCTATGGTTAAAATAGGAGATATTACTTCACAAATATTTTAAAGATTAAATAATACACTGCAAGATCTCCTGCAAAGCAACTTTGCTTCATACTGTACAGCAAAACTGCAATTCCTGTAACCAAAGCACTGTAGCTGTGCTAACTACATATTTCAAAACTGTACTTCTGAGTTAGTATGTTTCAGTATAAAGTCCTTTACCAATATTTTGCACTTCAGAAAGTATTACTGACCATTTTTTCTACTATTTTCTTGTTTCATATGACTTCAGTATCAAAAGTCTTCTGCATGCAGATATGCAGATTCCAAAAAGTCCACTGGCATAAAAGCAGAAGTGGAGGATTACAGACCCCCAGACTGCAGGACAGAATTCTCTTTCAAAAAGAAACAAATTTAAAAAAAAAAACAAAAACAAAAACACAAAAACAAATAAAACAAAGAAACAAACCAAATCACCACCGCCAGGAGAAAGAAAGCCGGCAAACAACAAGCAAGCACAGCCCCTTTAATCACAGCTGCTCCTGTCATTACTCACAGGTAACAACTGCACCACGGTGACAAAGTGCATCTTCCCAAACACCTGTACACCAGTTTCAGGTGGGAGATATTTCAGATCATCAGAAACTACTTATGCTGGTATTTCTCATTTGCTTTGTCACCGATAGCAAAGCACCCAGAAGAGAAACAAAAGTTTACCTCATCTTTTCAAAAATAAGTACAATTAATCGTACTCCTGCCCTTTCCTTACTGGCATCAGGTACCAAAGAAGTGCCATTTTAACAATTAATTGCACTATTTGCTACCAAAATAAAAAATAAATACCCACTGTTTCTATGGCATACAGTGAAATACCAAAATAAGGAAGTCCGAGAATAAGGAGGTGGATTTTAGGAAAAGGTACAGGTAAGCAATGCAGGTGTTTGCAGAAATAAACTCATCCATCAAAAAAAGCTAAGCAGAATGTGTTCAGTAAAAGAGAATAAAGCTCTTCACATCTCATCATTCAACTCTGTTCCTCTATGTGAAAACAAGGCTCGTGAAATATTGCTAACATCAACGAGACACTCAAATGTTGGTCATTCATTCCAACTAAATCAGTACAGTATTTTCACAAATTTTTCAAAAAACATGAAAGCATCAGTGTAGAAAAACTTTGTTCTCTATGGACCTGTCTCATCTCCTTGACTTTCTAAAATGCTCCTCCCTCTCCTGCTTAACAGATTGGTCTATATTTGTGTATCAGAACTTTAAACAAAATGACACATTTATTTTTAGTGTTTACTGCAAATCTGTCTCAAGAGATGTATCTGTGACATAATGGCTAATCATCTTTACTTTACATTTGCTCAGTTTGATGCTCAAATTTATCAAAATAGGCCCCGTCCTTTATTTTTATGTTCTCAAAGTTACTAAAATTAATTGACAAGAGTTGCTGCTAATAGATAATTGTTACAATTATCTGTCATAATTGTAACAAAACCTCAATAAATGGTTCATGAGTTCATGCTGAGGTAGTTGAACTATTTCTCCTACTTTTTTTACTTGGGAACATCTTTTTAGCAGAATAAGAATCAGGCTAGCAAACATCTCACCAATACAAACAGCACAACATATTAATTTGTAGCTTTTTCAATAATGCTTTTAGGGACATAAATTATATTTTCAGTCCAGAAAGAGACAAGATATGGTTGCATATCATTTCTATATCACACACAGCAACTCTAATGAAAGTATCTGTATATATTTCACTACCACTGTAGAACATCCAAATGACAATGGCTAAAAAAATATCCTGCCCTTTATTAGAAGACTTGCCTGATCTAAAAACAGCAAACAGACATTTTCACTCTTCCCAAATTAAAAGCCCATTTTTTGCTTTATAGATGCCTTTAATAGATGCATCCTAAACATTTGAGCAAATAAAATATAAACAGAGCTGAAGATATTTATACTATTCTAGACAACTAATAGTCCTCTCAATTTTACACATTACAATTCTTTCCTGGATGAAATAGGCTAAAACAATTATTATATGCTTTTTGAACATTCAAACTGCTAATGGAAATTATGCTTTCCATGGAAACAATGATTACTAAGAGGGTGCTTAAAATGGATGTGATATTCAGTAATGTTCATCACTGCAATTGAGAAATTAAATTTTAGGATTTTTAATTATTATGATTTTCCCATATCTGTACTGAAGCTATTTAGTCAAACATTTTGTGCTGTATCTATCAGTAATGGGTAAAGAACATTTTAATATAAAATTGCAGGTATTCCTTTGTTTTAAAAAAAATCTTGCAGCTATTACTGTAGCTGGAATACTGAAATCTGAACACTCTTACAGATTTCCTTACAGATTATGAAATCAAAACTTGAACCTTAGAAAATGGGCTCTCACTCTCACTCCCTTAAAGCTGCATTCCCTTTAAACAAGATCATTTTGCCTTCAGCTTCCACCTATAGAATAATGAAAAATAAGGAAAAGCTCCATTTCTATTGATGTTTGTCTCAGGTCACAAATGGAAATAATTAAAAGGACTCTTTCAGGAGTGCAGTCCCTCTAAACCCAAAATGTCACAATGTACCATACAGTGCTGCTCCAGCTCAGGCATCTATCAACATCTATCACTCACGCAAGCACCTCAACAGCTCTGCTCCCTTTTCTGATTAGAGATCAGAGTTGCTTGAGTTGGCTTACAGGGTGTCATCTCTTTGAATGACAGATGTCTGTGTTGGAGTGCCACTCTTGCTGCTTTGTTTTGATTGTGAAAGGTTACACTTATCTGGCACAATTCAGAATATTCGAAAATAAATAAAAATTGAAAAGGTAATTTCTCGTTCCACGGGGTTGAGAAGAAATATTTAATTTCTAATTTAAATTCCAAAAACCTTAGCTCTACATGCAATACCATTGCTAGTCTTTGTTTATTCAGTACAAAGTGTTTTCTATGAGAATGTTTAGTTTATCTTCAGTCAGTTTTATTTTTACCATTTAAAATTACAACTTTTCGGTTTAATCCAGCCTCAAAAGAGCTGGTAGCATGTGAGACACACCAGCACCTGATGCAATAAATGTTAATTAAGTATTTGAAGAAAATGATCCCCATCTCTTATTTTACATTAGAGTCCATGGATCTGAAAAAAAGACAAAACATCTGCAACTTGCATAAAATATGTTCGTTGTTAACAAAAGTTTTCAGGACTGATGCTGTCATTCTGGTGACCAGTTGCAAAGGGAGCAGAGGGCTATATGCTTGCATGCTCCAAGCTACTCCTTCCTACTTACAAGAAAATTGAGCGAACAGAAAAAAAAAAAAAGAACAGGGGGAGATTGCTCTTCCGGACAACATGGTAGCAGTGAAATGAAATACCTAGACAGACTTACCGAAGAGCTTGCTGGGAGTGTCCTCGCTGTCATTTGATTCCACAGGCGCAAGCAAGGGCTCATTCAGCTCGTTGTCTGAAGTAGCTGCCTTGTCCTCACCTCTCAACTCTGCATTCATTTCACTCCGCAGTGACAGCAAGGGCTTACTGACTTGTCCAGCTATCATTGGATCCTAGGATGGGGGAAAAAAAGAGTGAGGGGGAAAAAAAAGTGGCAGCTTTGGTGTACGTGTACTGTCTCTTCCACTCCCTCTCTTACACACACACACACACATACACTCTCTCTCTCTCTCTCTCTCTCTCTCTCTCTCTCTCTCTCTCTCTCTTATCTCTGGCTGCTCCTGCTGTTATTGCTGGCTGCAGTCAAGTGAAGAGCTATTACAGATCCAATGAGTTTTCCATTACTCCCCACCCTATTAAAGCTCAACTAGCATGTGAGAGATTCAGGATGCTTTGGAGAAAAACTTCTAAGGAAGCAACATAACCAACACAGCTTTAATTGTGGGATGTGCTTTTTATGTGTATATGTCACCCTGTCCTTAACATAGTAAGAAAAGAAATTCCTATATGCTCCAATGCTATGGAAGTGGAGCACCCTGTGAGGGCTCCATAGTGATTTAAAGAAGCATCCTCAGCTGTACAACATTAACAAAATCAAAAACACAGTTTTTAGTATTCCACCATATCTACAAAAATACACAGCATAAAATAGCCATTTCATTACATACATTCATCAGTGACAGATTTCTAACTATTCCTGTCTCTGGGATACTATGGTCCAAAAGTCCATAAACACACAAACACACATTTTTCTTTTGAAAATAAAAACCACACAAAACATTTTCTAAAAGATAAAATTAGGGAAGATACTTACACATACAGTTAGCAATTATTCTTGTGTTTGCGACATCATATCCCCCATAAAACATTACACATACATATACACATTTAAGTTTTTTCTTGATGATTTGAATTTGTTTTATCTTCCGCTCATTGAGGACGTTTGGGGGTCAGGCATTATTTCCAAGCACACTCAATTACTCCGTTTGTAAACTAATAAGCATAATATCATGACAGCATGGAAAGCAGAGTAAAAAAAAAACTGAAAAAAAGAAAAAGAACAAGTGACCTTGTTGCTCTCTCTAGCAGCTATTTATTGCAAAGTTCATGCCCAAATGGTTCTTATGCAGAGAACAGGTGACCAGCGAGCAAATAGGTTGGCTAGCATGTTCCCTCTGTCCCGTCCTCACATTGGTTGATGTTTGCCTATGGGTTTTTTAATGTATTCATGTCTGAAAAGTGAATTTGATATGACACATGATAATCTATGAAAATGTTAATCAATACAAATAGTTTAAGCTGTCATCAAATGCACTTCTTTAGTCAATACTCATATTGCCGAAAACAATGTCACTGTCACCAGGACTTAATTTGCACAGCACTTAAATATTGGACTCTGTGCATCAATGCACTCCTCTTCAAATACTGTAGGTAAACACATTTTCTCCCTATTTAAGGCTGAAGCACTCAGCACACATTTAGTTGAGCCGAATCCTCCCCTTTGAATACCTTGATAGGTCCACTGGAGGGCAAAATTAATACTTAATTGAATCTCACAGTCATCAAAATAATCAATACTTTTTTATTATTTATTCTTTACAGTCTGTTGACTGTTTCAAACCTCTGAGGGAATGGTGGAAAGGATTCATGGTTTTGAAACACTGTCATTTAACAAGGTAATTTTCAGTGGGGCATTAGGGGTTGTGAAACATATAATAAAACAAAAATGGTGGCTTATAATGGGAAGAAAGAAAAGAATTATATTTCTGCCATCTAACAAAACAGGATAAATAAAAAAAGCAAGTGCGAGCAGGAGAGGGAGAAAGGAGGGGGAGAGGGAGAGAAAGACTGGCTTTTGAAGGGTTTTATCATATCAAGAGCAGAGCTGAGCTTTCATAATGCTGACATTTCTCATTCTGACAATCCTAAACAAGTGGAAAGGATGAGATCGCAGATATCATCTTTCATCACATTCCCCAGCTTAAGAACCAACATGACAGCTTCTCTCCCCTTTACACTGTTAATTACTAAATAAAATACTGCTCTCTGTCAGCATTAGATTATTGCAGATAGCAACCACAAACATTACTCCGTTGTTTTGGTTTGCCTTTTTTTTTAAAACCAGTGATACCTGCCTTGAACTCTTCAGAAAATAAATTAGGCTTGTGTCTACATATTGTAAATATATGAAACATAATCAATTTAATCAATGTGGTCAATCCATGTTATTGTCAGGCTAAATTGCTGGTGATTTATTAACATTTCATTTACTGTATTTATTAGGCAGCAACAATCTGAACATTTCTTAGATGTTTCTGGAGAGGAAACAGAAGTCAACAGATTTGTTCTGCAGACACTGTAAAAAAACTCTGACTTGTTTTCCCTCATACTCATACTGCACTGTGGACAGTCATTTACTGAGGCAGAAACATATGTGTGTTTACTTTCATATACTAAATAATGTATTTTAGCAGATTTTGCAGTTAAAGGTCATTGTGAACACAAACAGCACTGTTTCAAAGTCTGTGCTGCTGCTCTCAGTTTCTGCTATTCAAAACTAACATCAAGATTTGATACTAACCTCCATAACAATTGTGAATCCAGAAAAAATTTGACCCATTTCATCAAAGTAGTTCAGGGAGGGAACTAATCCTGTCCGCACAGCTATACTCCTAATCTGAGGACTAACAGCAATCTAATAGTGGATTCTTACATCAGTAGGATTCTAGATTAAGTCTAAATTGCCAAATTCTGAAGTTGAATATACAAAAAATGGAAGGAATAAAAATGTAGGAAATGTGACAGCACTGGGAGAAACTTCAGCCCTTAGATGTACAGCAACTTCAGTGGGGCTAAGATTTTACTTGTTATATATATATCAATAATTTGGCCTCATCTGGAGTACTTTGTTCATTTCTGGTTAGCCCATCTCAGAAGGATACATCAGAAAAAGGTGCAGTAAGATTGATAAACTGATGGAAAAGATTGTGAGTGTTTACAGAAGAGCGTGACTAAGAATGAGCATGGTCAAAGCATAAAAGATGGCAGGGAGAAAATGTAGATCAGGAACTATTTACCCTACCTCATGTGAGGAGGAAAGATGTCTCCACTGAAATGGGAAAAAGTAATAAATCTAATAAAAATAAATTATATTTTTCCAAACATAAGTGGTGGGAAACCTGTGGAACTTGCTGGTGCAACGTATCACTGAGACCCACACCACAGTAAACATCAACATAGTCAGTCTTATGGCTGGGCAGGCTCTTAGCAGTGAATTTAAAAGAGCTTTGCAAACACAGAGGCAAGGACTATAAAAACTGAAATAACACAAACTGCTGCCGCCTCCCTCAGACAGCACCAGAACCTGTAGTTAACCCCCAGTGTGGCTCTCTCTGTCAGGTGGTAAATAAACAACAACTTTCTCTATAAGTAGACGGATTAGATACTGCCCAAATTTTTAGTCTACATGAAGACTAAATAAATCGCTTAAATGATGGGTTAAGGGAAGGTTTGTTTCCTTGAAAAACTTACTTTAAAATGGACATTTTTAAACTTCAGGTTATCTCCAGACCTTCAATTGCTTTCTGTGCCTGTTCTGCAGTGAATTATGCATGATTAAAAACTATTGCTTTTATAAAACATATAATAAATTGTAATTCCACTGTACAGCAAGTGGCCTAGTCTGCAAAATCCCTCGGTGAACGGAGGGATTGTTCCTATATTTCCCAATGGCCTCCCCAGAAAAAAATCCTAGAGTAATTACTGTGACTGCTGCAGGCCCAGCAGTCTTCTCCTCCCCTTCTGCCCTCCTCCAAGTCCGTTCCAGAGAGGACCCACAACATTGGAGTGAATACATTGAGGCAAGGAATTGCGTACACATTTTTGTGGCTAATACTGTCAGGATCTGTTCTCCTGCACTAGATGTCTGTGGGCTTGATGCTCAGCATTTGCTTTTTGGAAGGTGTTATAGGTCAGCTTACACTTTGCACTGTAACACAGGTCCTTCCACCGACTGACAGCCACACAAAAGTTTAAGCTTTTCATATGCAAAGAGGAAAAGTCTAGGAATGCATAAAACCAGCAAGATGAACTTTGTAAAAAGGGTTAATACGCTTTAAGTAAGAGGCATGGGAACATAACAGGGATACAATGCTTCAGAATTTCAAAGTTCTAGTTATAAGAGAACTAAGGAATTGCCATCCCCTTATTCAAATATACCTGTATATACCAGACACATACTGACAAATTTTGCACACATCTCTTGCAGATACTCATATAAGTTGTCATCTATTTCTTGTCCAACTAGCACTGGTATTTCCAGACTTGCCTGTTTTCTATGAGATTTCCCTGACAGCTTTGTGCTGCAAGTGCTCCTCCCTGCTGTGTATCTCCCTTAAGGGTGGCTTATACCTTCTGTAATTCAGTTGCAGTATCTGCTACACTACTGCTCAGCTCTACCACTCCCTTGTGACTTAAACTGGCTGTTGGGCTTAATTTAATGGTAAAAATCATGTAGATTTGCAAATGCAAATTACAGTTCTAGTAACACGCCCTCTTTTAAAAGCCAAAACTTTTACCTTTTTCTTATCTGCAGTGCTGTAGGAAGTACAGGAGAACATTTACCACCATGTTAAAAGCTTTGCCCTTGCACTTTAAGGGTAAAGGTGCAGTTTCTAAGCAAAACTATTTAGTAATCAAAGAGCTTTTAAAGGAAACTGTATGGGTTTTGTGTCAAACATGCCCTAGGCAGAAGCCTAAAAATAAGAGAATTAATTACTTTTTCCTTAATGCAGGATTTGGGTGATAATAGAGCTTTGTAATATACTGATCTAGCCACTGGTCTAAATTTTATACTTACTGCACCATAAACATTGTTGCTCTGAATGTAATTACTTTTTAAATTTTAGTTCAGAGAAAAAGTAAAATCCTCTGGTTTGCTTTTTATTTTGCCCTTAGTTTGAAGTTACTTTACACGAACTTTTTCTTTTCCTAGCTTAGAAGTACTTGAAATCAATTTTCTGATTTTCTTCAAAATATGAAATAAATCCTGTTTCTTCCCTTCCTCCCATGTCCCTCCCTCCCCTCCCACACCCCAATCCCAATCTTGTGTAGA